CTGTCTTCTCTCCTCACCTCACTGTCGTGTGGGGGCAGCTGGTGCAGCAGCTGCTTGATCCTGTATTTCTCCCCGGGACTGTTGACATAGGGGACCTTGTCCTCTGGAAGGCAGCTGAAAAACTGGTATACCTGGGAGGACACGGGGGATGGGAGACAATGATTGAGACTAGGGGTGAGTTGTGATACAGTGAGATAGTGGGAGCCTACTTCTCTGAGAAAATTAAAGTCATCACAAGGGAATGTCTGGTGACACTCTCCATCTCCCCTTCCTACAGTCTGGATCATTTCCATCACCCCCCAAATACACTGTAAGTTCTTTCAGGTCTTGACCCCACTTTCCTTTCCACCATTCTCTTTCCTTTTACAGCTGTTGGGTGCATTCACTGTGTCCACTTCCTCTCCTCCCATTGTCTCCAGACCCGACCTCAGTCAGGCTTCCCCACCTCTTCCATCCCTGCCCCTCTTCCAAAGCTGTTCCTGTCATGGTCATTGACAAGGTGCACAACATTAAAATCATTGTTCAGGTCTCAGGCCCTATAACAACTGGACTCTTCAGTAGCACTGGACACAGTTGATCGCTCCCTTATCCTGGAAACACTTTGTTCCCTTGGCTTCTAGAACACCACACTGTCTTGGGTTTCCTCTACCTTATTGGCTGATCCTTCTCTGTCTCCCTTTTGGTTCCTCCTCAAATAGCTGAGCCCCAAATGTGGGAGGGTTCTCAGGCTCATCCTTGGGTTTCTTGACTCTCTCTACATTCAGTCCCTTGGGAATCATGTCCAACCTCATGGCTATGAATACCACGTCATGGCTAATGCCTCACAAATGCATACCTCCAGCCCTGTGACTTCTCCCCTGAGATCCCCGCAACATGGCCACTCAAACCTTTAACAGGCATCTCAAACTCCAGATGGCCAAACCCAAATTTATGTTCCTACTCCTCAACTTGCTCTGGCCTTGGCCGGTCCCACATCAGTTAATCCATCCATCCTTGAGGTCATTTTTGACTCCTCTCGCTCACATATTCACAAGCAAATCCTCTTAGCTCTGCTTGTGAAACATCTGCAATCTGATCACCACTTGCTACTTATACTGCCAATATTGTCATCAGTCACAGGACTACTCCAGTAGCCTCTCCCTCACTGCACCCCCCCCCCCCCCC